TTTACTGGGACTGTGAGGATATCGGTTCGGCGTCAAGTAAAGGAGGATTCCATCCTTACGAAAATGGCGGAAGTGACGACCACAGACTTCATTACTGTTATTATACATAATTAATCCCTGTTTCGAACACTACTCACAGCGTACATTCACAACACCCCGCTGTTAAATAGTGCCGATATTTTCCGTTGCTTCTTCTGTAGTCCCACGTGTGATTAAACTCTAATATTAAAATAAATCATTCTGTTTCTTTGAATTATTGTAATTTGAGAGCCATTAAAAAGAGCCAAGCATGCATCTGAAGAGTATAGTATACTAGTATTAGTGTAATGTTATCTGTATTGCTATCATATACTGATTTGGACATTGATTCAAGTACCATTCAGATTTACAACTTACATATTGTAATAAACGAAAACATTTGTATCGTGTTGCAATTTGTCGTGATACGATTTAGTACTTCAAACTACACATTGAGTCACGCACAACAGATTTACCTTTTGAAGACATGCAAGTTCTTTATCAGACTCTAATCCATTTTCATTCCCAGAGTTCCTTGCGGCTAGAACACCGAAACGCAGTCCCTCCTCCTCCTGTGGAGGGACTGTGACCGAAAGTACATATATTCGTAGAAATAGAACTCTGCTCGGGAGATTGACTCTAATCTTGACGATGCGCCAATAGGAGCGTTCATAATGAAGACATTAAAGGTCCCAAATAACAATAGCGTGTATCAAACAACGTACACGTTTTGATGTGAAACACATGTAGAGATTCTATGTTTTGCTACTATGGATTAATTATGGATTAATTAGTCATTTATGAATGACTGATATAATCAAGGTTTATCAAAACATAATAATAATTTTATTATTGGCTAATAATATAAAATTTGACATCATAAACAACAGTGTTTATCTGCGTAAGCGTGATTGGTAAATGTTTCAGGTTTTCTACAAAATTCATGTGTTTCCCATTTGTACAAACTGGGCAAAACGGTCCTCAACAGCATTTCAGCACACGTAACACTGTTTAAGATATTAATCCACTACTTTAAATACTACATATAAAATAAAATCACTAAAGAAACTTCACTTTCAGCAGCAGCTGAAGTCCATATAATCCTAGATTACTGAGCGACTTGAGTAGCCTGTTTGCAAGCGTTTTTTTCCCTACAGTTTTGATGATAATGTCTCTATCTCTCACCGACTGCAAATGTCTTCACCTCAGTGGAAAATTCGACTGTCAAATAAGTTGTTACTCTATGTCCCGTGGTGTCTGAACTCTTATTAGTAGGCACTGGCCAGCGTCATTTTCTCGAATCCTGCCCTGGCAGGAGGAATACAGGTTTCTTCTAAAAAATAGGACTGATGATGAAAAACAGCATTTTTTACATAATCCTATACCTAGAAAATTAAACCAATACTTATGCAAATATCATCTTATAATAGTGACCACAGATGACGTTCTAAGGACAGCTTTCACGGGTGCCTAAAACGGAATGTCTTGCATTCATCTCCAGAATTGGTATTTCCTCACTCGAAAGAAATACCTTTGTTGCCCTCCAATTTACTGTAGCCCCCAGAATGAGTATCTCACAGCACTCAAGGTGGATCTCTAAGTCAGAGCAGAGAAAACTACTCAATACAAGAGCAAACAGAAAATAAAGTCATTAGCAACACACCAGGTACTGGGTAAGGGGGGTTGTCATGTATTGGACAAGTGCATCGAGGGGATATCACAAACTGATTGGCAGGCAATGGTTCAACACACACTTTCAATGTTCAGACATCGAAGCTAATATCCAATCCAATGTACTGACGCAACTAGGTTTGCCAGAGAGACGACAGGTGTTTCAATTGCATGTGCGCATGAGGTGTTTCAGTGTATTAGCTAAGTAAATAGTATTTAGTATCAGTTGCTGAATTCTAAGTTGATAAAATTCACCAATCGACTATACTAAAGTTACTGGGCAAAATAATGAGATTGGTATTTTGTGTGGAGTCACCATACATTGTATCCTAGTAGTAGTGGAGCATTCATTATTTCACTTACAGATCACCCGTGGTCATATCGAACATAGTTTTATCAATTAATTTGGTACTTTAAGTTTCTATGAGAATGTATTAAGCGCAGGATCAGGCACACAGTGCCATTATTGAATTCTTTTCATAAAAAGGCATCCTGGTCAGCAGCAACCTTCGCTATAGTCTGTTACAGCTGTACTGAATCTCTTTAAAGAAGCCCGTATGAACACTATGGCAATATGTTATAGCTGTGTGGTTTTCAAGACGTTTGCACTGACAGTATGCACTGAAGTAAATTCAAGATTTTTCTATCATTTCTGGATCTGTTTTTTAGGCGTAGAAATACGGCGTAGAGCAGCTGCAGACTGCTATGTGAAAGGAAAACAGCACAACCCCTAGCATCCAGGCACTTGAAAGGTGGTCAATTTAGCAAGTTAAGTATGTCATATGTATGAAGCACCCCTCAGCAAGAGAGGTTTTAGGAATACATATAAAATCCATAGAAAAGTACTCAACATAGCACTGCTAGATCACATGTTAGCCTCGGGCTGCCAATACCGTCAGTCAGTTTGTACTATGTTTTACTTGAAGAACCACTCCTCTGAAAATGGCCAACACATTCTATATGCCTTTGTTGCGGGGTTGTGCCTTTAAAATCTGGCAATATATAATTCATCATCACTAACTTATTCAGCGTTATTGAGTGTACCTTCCATTCAGTATCGTACGCCTATTCCTCTCGTTAACCTTGGCCAAATTAGCTATCAAGATAATCAGGGTCTATCAGTATGGCTAATGTCCCAAATCATTGTCTGGTTATCCAACATTGTGTTGCATATAATGAACCCGTGTTATATAAACTGCTCCAGGAAACACGTTATTTGAATTAATGCGATTTAACATGATCATCACTTTCATTTAATACGTGTTATGTAAAGAGCGGACTGTCATATTAGATAAAATAGCACAGCGTACATTTAGCCAAGCTTAATAGTAAAAATCGGTTTCATACAATGACACAGAATGTTTCATGTCATGATCATTATATGCTGTTATATTTTCTCCGCGATTTTGTAAATTTGTATCATAAAATCACTATTTACAGACAGTACAACATTTTTCAGTGGTGTTTCAAACAAGTACATAGGTGTATTCCCAACCCCATATGAGAGGTCCTGAAACACTAGAACTGTATTGGATTTTTGTTTATATATCTAAGGTGTTGGTTGGTACAATTTTTATAATTAAATATACTTTTATCGGCGGATTTTCTAGTCGCAAATTACACCTCTTGTCTGTGTTTAGGAGTCAACTTGACAGGCAGGTCACACCTGGAAGGAGAAAAAAATTAAACCGTTTCTGACCATTCTTGTCATAACAAAAACCGGGCAACCGATTCCTTTCTACTGTTAAGCCAAATGTATCTCCTCCTACAAATCTTGGTAAAAAATAAAAAATAAAACTCACGGCGATATTTCATTCATCAATTGGACCTGGAAGTTCGGAGTAACTTATTTTTCACCAGAAACTACATTTAACATTTTTGTAATTATTTTGGCTGACCAATTTTGTTCAAACTTGACCGGCAAAATACATTTTAAAACTTAGTATTGGACACATGTGATTTTACGACGTTTACATATACAATCTTAATTTCAACACAAGATAGTCATACGAATAATTGAACTCAAGCAAGTAAGTAGATCATCGGCGGCTATTGCAAGATCGAATGGAAACATTCACGTGATGCAGCGTGTATTTACCACGCATATCTCATGTGATAGTTCATATGAAAACATTACAGATGTAAATGACAGGACATTATCATACTGTATTGATAAGAAGGGTATGCCAGAATATCTATGTTTACTCCCACATCGCAGGTTTTACAAATTCGTGCTTTATCTGTGTATATTAAAATGAAATTTATGAAAATGTGCAGGAATATATAAAAAAAATAAACCAATAATTCTTCATTTTTTTATGTTAAACTTTTGACAATGGCAGTTGCTTGCCAAATGAAAAATGCAAAAGCACGACTTAATAACAATTTAAATGTTTTCAAAATAATCGTCAATAATATACAAGGTGTTGGCTGTAATTTTCAACTTCAGTTTGAAAGATATAATTTGTTGGCTAATGCATAGTCACTGTGACGTCAACGATAGAATTGATAAGGTTAGCTTGACCAATGACAGTATGACGGGTGCGGTCATTGGTTCAGAGCGTAGGGAACGATAAGTACGTTTTAGATTATACACCGTACTAAGCGGAAAGTGGGACTTCAGGGATTGTTTATTTGGTGCAAGACTTTCACGTAAGTAAGCAATGTCATTATGTTACATGTGATTTTCAATCCTCCGATTTAAATTACCCACGCAATAACACCAACGCCATCATCAAACGATAATTTAGCTAACATGATCGCTGTAACGTGTTACATAGTGATATCTCTGGTATCTCTAAATAAACAAGTTACATCCGGCGATAAACCTCGTTCTATAGTTATACCGCAACTACATTCTACTAGCTTCAGTTCTGTTCAATTTCAATTTTGCAGAATGTTGTTGCATCTGACATTTATTGTTCTACTTTGTCGTGTGAGGGCGCAATTACCAGAAGCCACTGACTATTTAGGAGTGGGATACAACATTGTACTTGGTAACCCAGAAGGTAATGTATCGTATATTGTTGTAAACATTTATTCAATAAAAAACATCATTTTATAAATACAAATGTTGTAGAAATAATATAGTCTCTTCAATATGGCTACAACTGTTTTCTTTCAAATTTCCTTAATTACAGGAACTACAGCTGGAAATGGCGGACTCGACCCAGGGTTGCTAGGTGACAAGCAGATATTTGAACTCACCTACGATGTTGATGGAATTAATCCGGATCAGGCCGAAGTGTATTACACTGGTAACTGCACCGACACAGTGACCCAAGACGTGTTTTGGGGGACCCAGAGTTACCAAGATGTTCTGGATTTATTTGTAGAGCAAACGGGTATGTACCACGTGATGTGACGTCATTATGTACGGCAGCCGCTGTACCTTTTCGTCTGTATACATGAAACAATACCATTTAAATCGATAAGACATTTTCCAACGTGTTTTTATTTCACAGGTGTTGTTGTACTGAGTGGCTATGAATTTACAGAAAGTGAAGGTACTTATTTTTCTACAGTATGAAGCTGAGATGATAATAAGCCCTTAATGATGAAATACGTGACAATATACATGTTGTACACTATGACACGGCTGTATGCTAAATGTCTAGATGCACCGTGACAAAGTGAAAAACAAAGTGAAAAGCGATTTGGTTTGTTTATTCTCTTCACAGGATACGATGAGGTTCACCAAACATCTAATGTTCAGGGCTCCGTGTATGACGATGACAGACAAAACTCCTACTGTGGGTATGCCAGATATAAAACGGAAGAGGCACAATTGAAAGAGTATCCAATGTCTTCGGCGTTTGCGAACACGATTTGTAACTTACCAACCACATATGAGGAGGAAGAGTACATGGATTTTATAGATACCTGGGGAACGGTGAGCATAATGGTCTTTATGCAATATAGGGAAGCTTAACAATCGATATATCAATCAATATATGTCATTTAATAACAACTTATATAAATATACGTGTCTTTAAAAGACATACCACAAAACTAGGTCATTCTACCAGTTGATTTCCCCCTCTCATTAGTAATTGGAATTCTAATAATGCCATTTTGATCTTGTGTCCCAGATTAACATTTTCACTGGTTACATTATGTACATTTTCTTATTGCAGCATGTAGTGGTGGAAGTGACGTATGGTTCACGTTTTAAAAAACGTTACAAGGACGATCGAAGTCATTTTGTCAATTATGCAAGTTCAGAGGCAGGTTCACATAATAATTGTTTGTGTCGACACAATAATGCCACATGTTGATCACATTACACATTGTTCATGAAATTGTAATTTCGCTTGGAATATAATAATTTTGTCAGTTTATCAATTTATCAGTTGCCCGGTAATTGATGCTTTTTTGTGCAAATTATTTATGCATATATATTTTATTTATTTTTTCCCTAATATTTGCAGTGTCCGTCATGCATACATCCGGGTGGTGCATATCTGTCATGGAACTCTTCTCTCATAGTCGACATGGACACTTTTGTGGCTACTCTTGACCCAAGCGCTAAGTTTGGCTCAGAAAAGGGGGTATTTGATACTGGCACGGGTGGAACAGAACCAGCCGGCCTTAAACTGATCAATATTGCCGAAGCACTAGATTTGTCGTATTGGAGGCAGTTCTGTTATTATGTTGTTGATGGATATTGTGAAGTTGCTGATTTACCAGAGTTCTCAGTTCGTCAAGCACATATAATGTCAGCATTGCAAAATTATGCACAGTATAAAAACCTGGCTTTACCTTCAGGTACGACAGAGGCACTAATGTCTTTATCAACTGCATGACACGAATGACGATCTTTGCATACAGTGTATGAATGATTCGCGGGAACAATTACACACTTGAAACATACTTGGCTAAATGTTCGCCTTTGGTTGTCTGATAGCTAAACAAATCTAAACAATTGCATTTCTACCTTTCGTACCTTTATTACTGGTGTGCAAATACACAGTACCATTTCAACTCCTGTTCACATATTGTCTATTTCCCTCAGATCCTATTGTACAGACTCCTCTGACATGGCCTGAAGGCTCATACGGGTTACCTTTGGCAGTTAGCGGTTGTCCTGTTGGTGCTGGGTTTGAATGGGCGAGAGGGTCGAGATTCCAGGACACAGAGAACGATGGAGCCAATTCATGGAGCACTCCGTACAGATTGGAAGGACCCGTATATACTAACGACATGCAACAAAACTTCTGTACAAAAACTACTGGTTTAGTATCGCAGTACGACTGGTCATGGAGCAAGGGCCAGTACTGCATATATAAATACGGAGGCTGTCCACAAAGTGAGAACATATCCGTTTTTTCATTTTTTCCAATCGTAGAACTGAACTGAAATATATATTTATGTAACACTGATATTAATAACAGACAGTTCCTTTCCGCCTGATCGCATCGGATCATATGACCAAAAAAAAATAATATACAACACACAAACGACTGGCATGCATAATATAATACATAACCAAATGAGTGAAACAAACAAACAAACAGATATGGGACTTCAGGCTATAAAAGACTGAGCAGTTCTGCTTCATGTGTGGAAACCCATTATATATATTTTTGTAACCTAAATACCACACTTGTTTTCCACCTCATATCAACTGTAAATACGTCCTCTGTAGAAGACCAAAGTCACCCCTGTCACGAACATATCGTATAAATGATTTCTGTGGCAACAATACATTATATGGCAGCAGCAGCAAAAACAATATGTCAAGGGAAATAACAGTTCGGAACCGTTGATTTGCAAAATAATATTACAAACGTAGTTCTTTATAAAGCCTGATGTATTAGCATTCACTGGATTCGAGAAGCATACCGTGATAGTTAATAATATGTTGTTTTTTGTTCAAGTAAACAGCACTTGGCTTTCCATACGTATATGAGTTGGTTGTACCATAACATGAAGTAAGGATTTTATAAACACCCATTGTATAATATATTACTATCATTCGTGTATTTTCCCTCAATTTGCAGACTTTTTACCGAGTTATGTGTACTGGGACGACGAAGATGACTTTCCTCAACTGAATAGCATTGACGGCACCTTGCCAGACGGGACTTATGACAGAAATACACAGATTATGTTCTGTTGTCGCAATGATGGTGATGCGACAACGCCGATGTACTTACCATTCGATGTCCCATTCTTCTTGATTAAAAGTACTCCGGTCTGTCAGCAAGTTGGTTACATGGTTGCGGATGAAGAGTGGTTTAGGTGGGACACTCAGGATACTTTGAACGAAGATGATGTCGGCGGAATTGTGCCACCTTATAACACACGCAGGGATGGCGAAACAGAACATCAGTTGCATTATTGCTATTACTCCTAACCTCAAATTAGTTTATGAGTGACAATTGCATATTTTCAAATAAAGAACTCCATTATAAAATTTATTTATCGCGATTTGTTGTACCTTTATGTAATAATCCCCATTATGTAGCCATTACGTGAGTGAGTGAGTTTTAATGATCATAAGATAAGAGTTGCGACATACAAACACTGTGATTGCCTTTATTATTATTTACTTACTGATGCTGTTATATGGTACTTAGTTAATGATGTATTTCGATACATTTTCACTGGTAGTGAATAAAGTCTGTAAAACACTAATAGAAAACAATAAATTGTATTGTGGGTAACTATGTCTTCTGAGTGTAGAAATCAGATTGTCAATTCAATATAATTATTCAATTATAATATATTTGGAGGATGGAGGGATGGTAGGGCCTGACTGTCAACAGTATCTAATATACGATGATTAATGGATAATTATTAAGCACGTACAATGCAAATGCTTCTGTTATGCACCATAGTTGAACTGAATGTCTGCTGCGTTCTAATTGTATACCATATTACCTTTCCATTCTGACAGGATAAAAGATTTATAGTCATCATTTGGGTCATCGTTGTTGTCAGAAACAGTTCAACCGAGGTAAACTATAGAAACCAGAATTGCAGCTACAATGAGGGCTTATCAACCTGAAACCCTTTGTGCCAGCAAATTTGCCGCTCATAACGCAGGAAATAGCGTTTCAGAGAGACTAGATTTCAAAATTGTTAAGGGGGCATACCCCGGACCCCCTAGTAAGATCGCGTTGGCGCGAGGGATGGTGAGCAGATCTCGCCCTCCATATGCAAAATTACGTGCCGCCGCCTCTGGGGTTGCAGAGAAAACTGAATAGGAATAAACAGTACAATGATCGCAATCATCAAAGACGGGGTTGGGACTAATGTTGACTGTACTTTTCACAATGGAAGAATCTATATAATCTAATTTCAGTCAGACAGACTGTCGAATTGAATAGTGAATAACTTTGTCGGATTAATTTCTATGACAACAGCACAAATATATATATATATATATATATATATATAATTCTAATTTGTTAGAATGTGCAAAGGCATATAATATTGGCTGGAACATTATTCACCGATTACTGCTCAATAATCGAAATTCATTATCATTTGATGCCCGAAAATATAAATGCGGGACAAAGATGACCTGAATCACGTGTTTATGTGGAAATTCAGAAGAAAAAATACTTATACAAATAGAACGATTTCTGAATATAGTAGTTTTTAGTATCATTAATGGGCTGAATGATATAATAAAACAGAAAATGTCACAATATCTAATCATAAATTCAGGATGCGGGGAATTAACGTATAATTAAATCGTGAAAAGTGCAGTCATACTACTTACTATGGGGTTGAATGTACTGTTCTGAATGTTCAAGGTTGACATAATGACTTTAGCCAGCTGTTATAATCTTACTACCGTGCCCTACAATTTTTTTTTTGAAATGACCAAAATGTAAAATGAGTTTTGAAAACCACTCTGTAATCTTGGTTCCTATCTGGGTTTTTATTAATGTGATTCGCTGTGTACTTCAGTATTCTTCGTGTTCGAGGCTTTTATCGCAATAAAAAAACTACTAGTATATAAAAATGTGTTGCATTTTAAATAGTATTCAAAGATTTATATACAATTCTAAATTACAGTTCCTTAATGTGTTACTTGTTTTGTCAACTGAATACTAAGAATGCTGTCAACCACAAGTACTATATTTAAATTAGTGTCCAGCTTGATTTGTGTTTATTTTGTGGTAACTAGTATATTCTTCGTATTCGACATTAACTAGGCGGCTTTAGCTAAGATGGCTATTCACTTTTGTGCAGATGAATTTGAAATAAAATAAAAACATGATATGCAGATGTCTAGTTATAGCCCACAGGATTGTAGCTCTTACTTACTACGAGCATAACGTAATGTTGTGAAAAGCGCAGCAAGTTTACATCAATCATCTAGTGCTCACTAAAGTAAAATAGGCCGTATGGGTACCACAATGTACTTTATTAATACAAAGAGAGATATTGATTGAAATCTACATATAACTTTCTCTTTAGTTATGGACTAACATCATTGCAATGTATACGTCCCATTAAAAAACAACCTATAACGCCATGTATTATAATATTCACCAGTGTAGATCCAATTAATTTGATAAAACTTCGTTTGCAGTATGTGTGTGAAGAAGTTGAAGAACTTCTCAAGTATGGTGGAAACAGCATTATGATCTCGAACCTAAATATTAGTATTTAGATTGGCAGCCTTCTTATAATGGAGCATAATTATCTTCACTTAACAGTAAAATGACATTTAGCAGCATTAGCAGCATTGACTGTATTTTGATAATCTCTATTTTGTTAATATGTAATTATATTGATAATCTCATTTAGATGATGATGATGATGATGATGATGATGTTATGCATGTTGCATGTATTATTGTTACTAATATCTATATATGACAGTTCTAGTTGTGTTTTATGTAACTGTGTTTTACCGTAAGAAAATAACTATTAATATCAATTGCTTTTAATTTTTCGCTTGTCAGTCGGCGTTCACGTTATGGCATGTACCATGATAAAGACACCGGAATCACCTCACATCACGTGTTCGAATTTCGTGTAAATGAACAATTATTTTTTACACGTGTTGTATACAAGTCGCAAAATACCTATTTCGAACACGGCGCATTGCAACGACGGCCTGAGGATCTTTACATATGAACTTTACGATGCACTTATTTCTATTATAAAGATGTAATCGCTCTCTGTCTTGCATCAGATTGTCAGATGATTTTTTAGCCGATAGCGATGTTGTAAGGGTGTGGTGTAGTGTGTTGAATTATCGTGTAATTGCTATCGTATCAATTATGCATGTCCGACCCATGTGAGTAAAACGAGTGACTTTGTTGTCTTGTCAAATGTTACACATGTGTACACGACATGTACAAATTGTAGTACAGATAACATGTAAAATAACATGCATCACACAGCTGGCCGATTTTGACATTAGCGACCTATTTAATGGTCTCCTGCGATGTCAAGTTTTATTTAAACAGAATAAAAAGGCAACGTTGTCGGCAGAACCAACAATTCTAGCAATATGTATATTACATGGAAACACACTTTCGGTTATGACACAGAACGAAATGAGATTGACGTACATACCACGCGCGCTCTTCAAATGTGCATACATAATTGGCTTATTTGCATATGAATCAATCACATGTGATTTACGTAGTTCAAGTCGTTGTAAGCATGAATTCCAACATACACGACGTACAGTAACAACTAGCTGCCCGATATGAAAAGGAGTGGTCGTAGTGATAACGACAACCATCGTCCAATTATGACAAGGCACCGGAATGACGTCATTAAACATAGATGAAAGAGAACAAAAGTAGGGAGACCGTGTGACGACTCAGGTGGAACCAAGACCATCAATAAAACGTTGCCGAACCCAAGGTTAATTTCACTTCGCGTAAGTAACTAAGTAACCTTTCTCTATTTTTCATTATACATGTTTGTGTGTTGCTCTGGTAGAAATGTGTTGGAAGCAGTAGTACAGGATTACATAATACTGCTGTTTCCTATCTCTGTAATCACAAGTTCTTGATGAATGCCCTTTCCGAATCGGTCTGTAGTGGTGTGCGTCACTTTGAAATCGATTACAAAATGGCTCACTACTGAGCTTACGTATATAACCAAACTGTATAAGTAAACATCTTCAAAGCTGTGTCGTGAATTAATTAAATTTAAGTAAACATTTTGTCATCAACTTGTGTTAGTAATGTTATGTGTATATATTTTCAGAATGTTATTCTGTCTAGCTCTGATCTCGCTGTTATGCCACGCGAGGGCGCAGTTACCCCCTGCTACCAACTATTTAGGTGTAGGTTATAATCTTGTCCAAGGTAACCCTGAAGGTACTGTACACGGTTATTATCATTATTTATGTGGATTTCTTGATCGCCCATCTGTTGTTGTTGTTTTATATATATTTGTGTTTGTGTTTAATTGAAAATTTATTTATTTATTTAGGTTCACTTTTTTTGAACGGAGGATTAGATCCTGGCTTACTGGGCAACAAACAAATATTTGAGCTTACCTATACACTTGATCCCTTCATTCCCGATCAAGCGGAGGTATATTACCCTGGCAACTGCACGGATTCATTCCATAAAGATATATTCTGGGGAACACTCAGTTACCAGAATATATTGAACGAGTTTGTCGCACGGAACGGTGAGTCAACTCACATCTTTAAATAAAAAAATAAATACAGCATTATCTTTTCGCTGTTATGTGGCTTTGCGATTGAAAATAAAGACTGCAAGTCTGTCCCATCTCATGTATTCGAGTGGCAATTTTAGTGAAAACCGGAAAAGTTTAATTAATACATTTAAAGGGTGGTGGTGGTATCCGACGACTTAAGCTAAATCAATTGGTTCATGTATGTTGTTAATATCAGTGTACCTAATACAAAATCCGTCCGTTGTTAATTTTCTTGAGTCACGGTTGTGTATCGTCATACCTTTTGTAAAAGTTTTATTCTCACGTAGAAAATTTTTGAAAGGACTAAAAAGAAACTTGTTCTAAGCCTTTCTAGGTTTCTGGTTTGCCTAAAATAAATCAATGTTTTAAAAGTAGATATCCGCCGGTCTTGGATTTTCGAAACATCTCATAGAGAATACCGGAGATGTGATTTGGCTGTTGATACATATTGCCCTGAGAGATTTTCCATGTTCTCAGAAAACAACACTTGACTATTGGTAATAATAATGATATTCTAATGATTACACACAGATACGTTGGTATTTTTGGTTGGTTACGAGTATGTGCAAAGTGACGGTAAGAGGGCGTATTTTCTTTTTTTTACGTCTTTAAGAAAATGACAATTTTGTAATTGGGAGAATTATCAGTTTTGAACTCAGTGATCACGTGACTGGTTGATCAGTTAGATATAGCAGGCGAAACCAATGTGAGAAACCAATGATGTCGGATGTGTAAATGATTAGATGTAGTGCCATCCTTTTTATCCCAACATTTGCTCACCATTGCGAGGGTATAACTAAGTAGGTTGTTACGTAACGCAACACATATACGCGTTTATTTCTTAGATGATGGTGATCCAGTGAAGTAAAGCAGTGTGATAATTGTCCATATTTCTTTACTGTGTAATAATAATAACTGAGTGTCAAAAAACGTTGATGTTTTTATGATTTTGGTGGTTTTACACAATATTTCTTAAAATATATTCAGAATTATGAGAATTCAGTGTGAATAAGGCCAAACAATACTTATGTTTCATTCAAGTCGAAAACTAAGAGTATCCTAAATAGCCAAGGTATATGGACTTCATAGTATTCGGAACATGTCAGACAAATACAGATCAACTCGAGGTTCAAAGTCGCCACTTACGGGGACTCTGGGGATCAAACAACGGTCCGGAATCCTTAATTTTAGAGGAAACACTTTTTTACTGTTTAAAATGGTAAGTTTTTAATATTTGGGCCTATTAAAAAAAAAAAAAAAAAACGCGACCCGATATTTAATATTTTTCGGTCGGTCGCTGAGGGCAACAAAACAATTTTTTTTTGCCTAATAAACCATTCCTATGCGCTCCTAGCGACAAAACACGCTATTCACAGGGCCGACATTGGTTTGATTACAACACAATAAATAGTTGTTTATTTACTCCACATTGCTTACACTTATCTACTTCATTCCGAGGTCACGCAAGTGCTTTACCGCTAGCAAAGTTGTAATTGATAACACCCGTTTTGTTACCAACTTTTACCAGAGCGGCCTTGACAGTTTGATTTGAATTTTGAATTAACTTGAATTTAGAAACAATCACAGCCACATTTGAGCGGGATTCGAGAAGCAACAGGGCCATGTTGTCTGACAGTCACGTGATAACATTTTCTTTGAATATTTATTAAGGTTATGTGGAGGTGGATCAATCCTCCAACGTCCAAGGTCACGTGTATTTTGATGAAAGACAGAAGACATACTGCGGTTATGCCAGGTACAAAACTGAAGAAGCTGATGCAAAACAATATCCTGTATCAACGGGTTTTGCCGCTGCTGTGTGCGCATTGTCACCGACATATAACGAGGAAGAATATATGGATTTCATAGACACGTGGGGAACGGTGAGTTTCTCTAAAGGAGTTCTCTATAGATCACCAATAATGTGGTTTATCTGTAGCAGCACTTCTACATGCCACAGTCGCTGCGCCGCGCCGTGCGTGTCCGTCGTGTTCGGTATATTGGTCCCATGCAACGCATACAACGCGTTGTTGGTTTACGAGCAGCGTGGCGTCTGTGACAATTTAACTTGGATGTTGAAACTTAATTTAAAGCGGGGAGTGTGAGAGTGTTGTACATATGCAGTCATGCAGACTATCGATCAAATCTAACTCTTGTGTTCAGCTTTATGTTATTAGTTAAACATTATTTGTCATTGTATAATTTGCATTACAGCACGTAGTAGTGGAGGTAACGTATGGTTCACGAGTGACAAAAAGACATAAAGACGAATGCCCAGATTTTGTTGCCTATGCAGCCGGCGAGGTACGTAGTCTGTCTTGTATTGTTCAAGAAACTAGACCTATATACTATAGTAAATATAACTTGTTAACTTATTTATTTATTCTCTTACCCACAACACCAAGTATGCAATTTCTATTTATGTCCTTTCCTTTACATAAGTGATATGTATAACGAACTTTCAAATTGAAATGTTGTCAGAGAACTGCAATACACACACTTTTTCAGACCACCATATATATTAAATTTACATTTTATAATGCAATTTTTTGTAATTCCATCCATGTAGAAATATTTCTTGTAAGGTTACCATAAGTAAAGGTAACAACACGAGACAGAGGGGTGTTCTGGTATCCAGTGGTGTTTGCGACTTATACACTGGCTGCTTCATTTCAAAGTCGTGCGCAAGGTCAACATAACCCCCCCCCCAACAACAACAACAACTACTGTAAAATACTTTATATTAGCTGAAATTTTGAGTGTTTCGTATGAAATTTATTTTCACTGATTTTTAACAAGTTTAATGTAAAATATAGGAAAAAGGGTATATTCGCTAGATTTTATTTCCACTAAATAATTCCTAGAGTGAAAATAGCGAAAATTAATTCCAAGCGGCGAAAATAAAGTATTTTACAGTAATTCTCTTAATTTGAACTTTTGTTGACGTGACGCCTGTTTTAAGACATACGAATTTCGAATGAGTGTCAGTGTCTGTCATTATATGTTTATATGAAAAACGGTTATCTTATATGTTAGGGTACGAGAAGAATAACAGTGTTTTCTTTGTTGTACAACAGTTTTATATACTGTAAACTATAATTGTGATGTTAGGTAATACAGCAAGCCAGACAACCGAACCATTACTACTAGCAAACTGCTAAAATGATAGGCAAAATGCTATCTGTCATTCACTATTCGTTTCTATCCCTCATGCCACTTTCGTTAGTGTTAAGAGCCGTGTTTATTTATGCTGCTTAATATATTCTCCGCCAGAGTCCCAGCAGTATACAACAAGGTGGTCCATACCTGTCATGGCCGGAATCACTCATTGTTGATATGCATGATTTCGTCGCCAATTCTGACAGCACAACTGAATTTGGATCTGAGAAAGGAGTGTTTGAAACCGGTGGCGGTGATGCCCTCACCGAGCCAATTGGCTTAGTATTGATCACGGTGGCTGAGGCCGCTGATCTGACTTATTGGAGGAGATTTTGCAACTACGTGGTCGACGGGTTTTGTGAACTGGAAGATTTAGTAGATATGCCAAATCGACGAGCATTCATCGAAACCGCTCTCCAGAATTATGCGAATTATAAAGGATTGGAGTCATCATCAAGTAAGTAAAAGGTCTAGGGAGCTCACAGGTATAACAATCACAGACCTAGGGAGCGCACCGGTATAACAATCACAGTCACAGGGAGCGCACAAGTATAATAATCAAAGACCTAGAGAGTGCATTGGTATAACAATCACAGGCCTAGGGAGCGCATTGGTATAACAATCACCTAGGGACAGGTCCGGATAAACCATCATATGTCTATACGTTACGGTAGCCACCCCATTACAAATCTTGGGAGATTTTCCGTCCCCAAATCTGTTCCATCTGTAACCAAGTGGGCAGCAAGGACCCAGTTTAATAGTAGAATACATGCAGCTCGATTAATTCCTTGTCCAGGGTTTAAGGACCAAGTTTTAATGTCATCGCACTGATTCAGATTTAGAACGGTGATGTAATTACACGAGTACAACGTAACATCATTAACATCAATTTTCATTACTGACTGACTATTCACAAACAACATGTTCAAATTTAACATGTTGTTCGTTTAAAGTCGACAAGTTATTCTTATTAGGAAAATCATTACTTTATGAAATATTTGCAGAATACAATTTCGTCAAATGTATGAATTGTATGTGATCTGATCCTATAATTGTAAGCCCGCTGAATTTTAAGCATTTTAAAAATAATAAGTTGATGGTTATTAGAATATTGCAAGGTGAATTAAAGTGACACGTTATGCTATGCAATATAACAATAGCGCCAAATTCGGTATAAAGTCGGTTGAAAACAAAAACCTAAGTCTAATCTATTCCCCCAAAATGTTAAAATTTATAAGTATAAAAAAGGTGTCTATGCGATCGAATTTAAACTTGTTTCACGAGATGAAGAGTAATTTCATACTAGACCGAGTTAGTTATTGGCACTTGTACGTTGATGTAGATATACATGCAATCTGACAAACACACAAACATGTCGTTGTATTTAGATCCAATTGTACAGACCCCGCTGACATGGCCTGAAGGCTCGTACGGAATACCGGATACCACCTCGGATTGCCCGTTAGCACCAGATTTTGTATGGGAGACTGGTGCTCGATTTCAAGATACAGAAAACTCTGGCACAGGAAATGATTGGAGCACACCGTACAACTTGAAAGGACCGTATTTCCAAAATGACATGCAACAGAATTTCTGCATGAAAACACTGGCCACTTCGACACAGTATGACTGGAGCTGGGGCGAAGGTGAATACTGCATATACAGGAAAGGTGTCTGCCCAGCAAGTAAGTAACACACTATCATACGATGAGGGAAAAGAGGGTCCTGGCCGTACATCAGATTATACTTGTACCCGATATATTACAACAGTTCAGAGTTATAAAGCAGAGTACTATTTTTTTGTTATATCTACATGTTATGTAATACAAATTCTGTGAATATTAACTATCTGTATTTTCTCAAGGCAATCGCATAACCTGAGGGGTTAGGACTGCTGGTAACTAGTTTAAGAAATAGACACAGGAGGAAGGATCGACCAATCACACATGTTTGAAAGTGAAAAAAGACCAATGAAATCAAATTTAGTTTATGAAAAATAACCATATTAGTGATTATTAGTTCCTCTTTTAACTATTAACTAAACCGATATGAGTAGAATAAATAAAATAAAACTAACACCTTTGACTCAATTTTCCGAGGTTGGAAGATTGGATATGGTGAATTTGACTTTAGTTGGAATTAGGTTATCATTTCAGAGTATATAGTAGTATCCAATACCACACACCTACATTTCCTTTCCAAGATATTTTTTTAATTTAATTGAGTTTAATTTAGTATATATTGTTTAGATTGAGTTGTTTTAAATCGGGAGGGTCGTCACCTGCGCACGCGTGGGAATTGAGTCCCAAGCGACGATAACAACACACGCTAAAAACGCAAAAGCTCATGGGTGGACGTCTGTTTGTAAACAATGACACGATTTGGTCATCTGACGCATGCGCATGTGACGACTTTTCCGCTTTAAGTGATTTGTTATTGTTGATATGCATTAGCTGACGACAATTTACTTGATCTTCACAGATTTTTTTGGAGGTTATGTGTCATGGGACGACGAAGATGACACGCCACAGAATAACAACCTAACGGGTACCTTGCCTGATGGTGTCTATGACCGAAACACATTGATCTACTTTTGTTGCCGAGAAGACGGCAGCGCGAACAGACCGATATATCTGCCAACTGACCAGCCATTTGCGTTAATAAAACGTACCGCGTCCTGTCAACAAGTTGCCAACATGACATACTCCGAGGAGTGGTTTAAATGGGACAATGAGGACACTTTTAACGAGGATGAGGTCTTTGGATTTGGCCCATATAACACTGGTGGCGTTTCAGAACACCAGCTGCACTACTGTGTGTATTTCTAAACAACGCTACGTTTACTCCTAGCGTGGTCAAATATTTGTATTGCTTACATACGTATTTTGTGCGTGCATAAAGACAACTCAACCCGATCGAATTACTGTAGTTTGTAATTGATATTATCCATGATGTCCTCACAAACATGAATGGTGTGAAAATCAATCAATCAGCCAAATAAAACAAATAATTATTCCAACTTTTCGTGGGTTAATGGTAAATTGAAGCCATTTTATTTTGTATTACTCTAAAGATAAAAACTAGTATGTGTATCAAAATTTGCCACCATGAGCAACAACAGTACTAGTATATAATCTAAATCATTTAGTTGGCGTCCCAATGAACATATCTTTGATTTGTGAAGAAACAGTAAACACAATTATTTCACACCATAGTAAGCGAAAACACTAAACCGTACACTTCCAAATATTGTTCTATTGGCTTAATATTAAAGATGTCTATGTAAAGTTTGTATAGTATAAATTATACTAGTATACAACGGAACATGAAATCTGGGAATGTTACAAAATCACACACCTGGGTTCAATATCAACAAATTCAAGATAAAATGTCCATGCCTATAATGATTCTGTGACGTCAAATTGACGTACTAGTATTTAGTTAAACCAATCCATAGCTGTATTTGGTTGTATAATCGTTTGTCATTTAGACTTAGTAAAATATCTGAAAAAATATACTAGTAGTCTTCATTGACGGACAGCTACAGACCAAAACGATATCAACGCTTTTAACGGGCTCCGTAGACCATTGGAGTCTCGGAAGCGTTTTGTCACTAGAGGGCGTTATCGATGTGAGAAAGATGTATAATATGGCATCACACATTCATTAGGAAGTATTTCAAAACGAAAATTCAACGAAATTTTAGGTGGTAGTGTACTTTGTGACTCACCCTTATACCTCATTAACTACAGCATATGATCTAATTTTTTTCTCAGACTCATATCTAGATAATGCCCTGCCCACCGACACAATCACAATATTTCCCGCCTACATCTAGATACAAAATTAGTTAACAGTTCGGCACTGTTGTTAAGAAGCAGTTCGACAACACATTTCGCTGCTGTTTTTAGAAGCAACGCAGTTGTGGTTCTGGTTGACGAATGGTCAGTGGCTGCCAGTCAGAGTTGACATTGTTTGTAATTTTATATCAAATTGAGCCAGTTTATAGCATCCTCCATTCCACGCATGTACGCGCATGGTGCAACACAGTCTATCCCATTGAATACACAAATCGCACAACAGGTTTAGAACTTATACAATAGTGCAATGATAGATCGCCAGTTATCCATGGTGAGCTTTGTGTCAGTTGGAATGATTGACACAACTCATACCAATAACTTAACCATTTACTCAGGATTAAGAAAAATAAGCAAGGACATCATTCCCTCAATAAAGTGGCAAATATTGGTTCATAATGACGCCCCCCAAACCAAGCTGAACCCCTTGTATGTCATCAAATTTTGCCTCTCAAAATGCAGGAAATTGCATCTCAGAGGGTCTAGATTGTAAAGTCTTCCCCATGTCGCAGCCTTTGCTAAACAAGTGACTTTTCAAATGTGTATCGTTTGCAATACAATATATTAACAGCCCCATGCTTTCTGGATTATATTAGCATACACAACACGTTCTTGACTGACTATATTATTTTTATTTCTGCATTAGTGAACATACTTACCTCGAAGAATGCGGGGACTATGAAATATACTAGATTTGAAATATACAGTAAGCCCCCTCCCAGATAACCCAAACATCCTTTATTACCTTGTTATTTCCACCTGAACCCATCTGTGCATTCTTTTCTTTTAGGGGTACTCGGACTCGGACATTACCCTGGAGTAAGTAAAAGTACTACCCAGTCTATAGTATCCAGTGTCATTAAAACCAGGACTAACAATTTAAGTAGACATGGATTATTTTAGACTGTGGTAGTTAGAGGATCCCTAGAACATATAGTTCAAGGAAACTTCCCACTAAGTGGAATTGTGTATAGATGTAGATCCCTAGACTTTGTCAAGATTTGTCAATGCAAATAACACTGTGAAAGTATCCCATAGTTTACCGTGGGTATGTAATCTGATCGACGAACACGTCGTGCTAACTGTACCATGGCACTGTCACACATGTGTTGTGGAATACATAAGAAATGGTTATCAGGTAGACATTAATCAAGAATATTATTTTAATTTATTATGAAACACCGCAAGAAATTATTTTCGGCATTGAAAACAACCTGTCTATTGTGGTTATTACAAGTCTGTACACGCTTCCTACCGTAATAATACCAGACGTTAAAAGATAAATTAAAATGCATTATGTAAGCAGTCTCAATTGCGACACGAACAAGTTACATGTACTACTAATAATAGTAAGATAGTGAGGTAAATGCAATCACCCTTTTAATTAGGAAACTAATATAGTGCAATTTCTATGTATATTGACATATAATACAATTTCTAAATTGTTAATTTGTGCGATGATCATGAGTATATAATTGTTCATATGACCTCCTTTATATGTATAGTTGTCAACTAACTGGCCATTGTAAATGAGTAAAGATTAAAGGAAAAATTAAACCTATATTTAAATATGTTACACACTGCCATTTCTACTGGAACACAAATATAGAGATTATTTAGAGACGTTAGAGTTACTGTATTCTATATCACATCCTAAGGGAAGCACCGGAAACTGTAAGTGAGTGAGATATTTCATTCATTTACATCGTGTAATAATTACTGTTCAATATCTACTATATAACAGTTATTATACCACAGTCTGAGTTATATTACTGATACATTCCTGATACCATATACAGCTATTTTAGATATTTATTTATATTATACCATACTGGTTTATTTCCCAATGTGTTGTTGTGAATTG